GACCTTACAAACGAATATAAACAACTTGATGTATTGCGCGTCATTATAATTGCGATAAAATCAGTTATAAGGCGCTAATTTATGCGTTAAAAAAATAAAAACAATTCACTTACAAAAAAAAAAAAAAAAAAAACATAACGAGGCCAAGTACATGCGATTATGTATATTTAATTAAAACGTTTTCATGTCCTCTAACTCTACCAAGGGAATAGACAAATTGTATTTACATTCACAATTAAAGGATCCAAAAGAATTATTGACGTTGTCACTAAAAAATCGTTTTGCATTTCTACAGTCTTAATATACCAGACAATCATAGAATTTCGATTGGGGAAAAAAAAAATCTCTCACCCAACATCATAACTTCTCGGTTTTTTCAAAACCGCCCAAAAATGAAGTTTATCCACACATCAAAGTAAGTTATTGACCTACTACTCAATAAACAAATTTTTTTTAACGAAACAACATAATTTTTACCAACAAACTGGATAATCGCTTACACGATAAGCGGTATGTAATAGTTATACGACAGAAACTCCTACAAATAACGTACCAAAATGTCGTTGTCTATTTTCATAATATCATCAGCCATACAGTACGCACTATTCATAGCATACAACTTGTGGACTAATCCGCAACCTACGACACTAGTTGTTCTTTTATTTTCGTCGAGATGAGAATTTATACGTTTTACATATACCTTGGAAGAGAATGAAAGATAGTGAAGGTGGATGAATTTATCAGACACGTACATCGCGAGCAAAGTCAAGTTGAAAAAAAAAAAATAAATAAAAAAAAAAATAAAAAAAAAATTCAGAAGTACAACAGGTGTTGTATTTAGCCGTGGGGATTAAAAACTCGGCAGACATCGTGTTATTACTACAATTAATCAATAGTGGACTGTTTAATTAAATCGTGGATAGAGTATTTTTAAACCTTGTGATTTATCAGGTGTGTGCCCGTACAAACCCGCGATTGGTATTTATTGAGGGAAAAAAAAAAAAATTAAATAAAAAAACTGCATGCACGACGGTAATGAATTAAAAAAATTTTTAAACTTTGGGTGATGTAATTAGTCGCACGGTAGGCACATCCGTTGTATAATAAAGGTAAAAGAGACGAGGGGACAACAATGACGATTCGTTTTTTTTATCTTGATTCGATTAGCACTCTAGCTTTCATCGACTGACTACACCTTTTGTAACGTGATAACGACAAGCGAGAGTGAATACAAGCTGTTTTTCTTTTTTTCATTTTAAAACTAACACAAGGCTGATGGAAAAAAAAAAAAAACATCTCTTTACCCTCATGAGGTTCAATGTTTTTTTCAATCAAAAACATTATATAGTCAGTTGAAAAAAAAAAAAAAAAAAAAAACCATATCATTTTCCCATGATGAAACTAATAATTTTTTTGAGATAAACTGTTTAAAAAAAAAGTTATTTCCGTAAAAACGGAAAATTCAGGCGCTCAGCGATGATACCTCCCCACTAGCAACTCGTGAGCGACCGAGGCCTCCGAATCCACGTGCGAGCGGCAAAACACCTTGCGGATGCAACCGAGTCTCGTGAAATGTCGCAAAATAGATTGATATTTTCGTTAAACGTCCCGAGTCGACGCAACGATTATTCTTCGAATTCGGCAAAAGTTGGGAGTGACGATGAAACGGGAGAAAAAAAGAGAGATACACGCGCAAACGGATGGAAAGTGGCAACGGTGACTCGGTGATTCCCCATATGACTAATCCGCTCGCAATGTATGTTACACGTATATAGGAAAGTACCTATTGCGAATCGAGGCCGCGTCCATACTTGATTATTCGCTAAGCGTGGACACGACCACATACATAATGTGAATATTGCATATACTATATAGAGCCGTATATATACATGTATGGATCCAAAGTAACGTCTGTTTTCGGGGAAAGAAAAAAAGGCCCATAAGCGTCCCATCCCAAATCGCGAATTCGTCACTTCTTGGCTATTCCCTCTGGAAGAGGGTCGTCTTTCCGGTAAAAAATATTGCCGCTGACGTCTTTCGGCTCCTTGCCTTTTTTTTTTTATTTTTTTATTTTTCGTCTCCCTCCTCCCAAGTGGCGCTCATCGCGAGAAAGTTTTTTACGGAAAAAGTCACTCTGTCTCACGAATGACAGTATATTCGTCGCTACACACGATCGCTAAGTGCATTACTGTATGATGTCGAAAACAAAACAAAAAAATAAAATAAAAAAGAAAAAAAATTCACTGGAAGCCGATATGGTTTTGCGTTCCGCGCATCAATCCCCGCGCGACATTTGCATAAGCAATGTAAATTCATGTACATGCTATAGGCATAAATGTCATATATATATTCGCGCTAAAATTATCTACTTCTAACTCCTGAGAGTATAAGCGTCACAGATTATGCAAGGGTGTGCTTGTAATATGTTCATTAAAAATGGAATTTGGAATATATCGTGTATATTCCATCGGACTTGGGTACAATTATTTTTATGGATTTTTAAACGCATTAAAAGATAATAAATTTTTTTTTTCCCCGTAAGTGCAATACGTTTGATATATTTGAATACGTTTGGTATACGTAAATTTTAAACGACCACACGTAGAGCTAGACTATACATACTTTATCTCTCGGCGAGTTATTTTATCAGTATCCGATTGCGTCTGTACGTGTAATCGATTTCTTTTGTATAGTATACATTACAGTATGTATTACAACGACGATACCCCATTCGACCAACACCGAGTCTAAATTAAGATGTTCTTTTATGGGCCCAAGGCGTTGTTCGTATCAGTTGCGTGTCTTAAGATGGAACACGTGACGTTTGAAGTAACCGCCCATAAGTAGTTGAGTAAAATGACAAAAATGTGATGAATTTTTTCTAATAAAATATGTGTCTGGCGATAAAGTGTTTATTTCGATTGGATTTTGTGTACATCACCGGTGTTTCCATCTCTAGCTAAAAAATCCCCTCTCGTATCTGATGTATACATACGAAAGGTGAATGATTTGTAAATTGTACCGTGACGAGGTAGGTATTTTTGGAGGCTAAGAAATAGTTTTGATCGTCTTTTTATATCACCGCACGTGCCGGTGTTGTTATACGCATAATATATACATATTATCATCAAGACTCCCAAGCCATTGCGTATGGCTTACTACTGCTTACATTAATCAGTTACATCATTAATTGACTGTCTCAACATTATTACGTAACAATTCGGTCTCTTTTTAGTCAAAAATGTCTGTATGACACTTATCATGTATATATATATATATATATATATATCCAACGCGTATATATGTTTACACAGACGTGACGCGTGTCTGCCTTTACACTTTATAGTAATCGAAAATTGGCTGGTACAGTCATCGAATACGGTTAATTTACTGATAATATTTAAGTGGGTTATTTCCCGAATTAATTTTTTTTTTTTTCACACTCGTCTCGCTATATTATACTTAATCGCCGAAATATGTAATCGATTGAACGATCCGACCGACCAATCCGGTATATATACATAAAACTTGAACTTGTACAAACGCATGCATTTTTAGGAATGTTGAAAAAAACAAAGTCGGTAAATTCGAAGTATATATTCACCCACCGAAGCTTATCAATGTCAGCCGCGCCGATCATGAGACAAAAAGCACCAGTCGTACGTACAGCTAAGAGTACACCCCATCGACCTTCGATAAAACGTTTTTTTTTTTTTTTTTTTTAAATCTCTCTCATTGCGTGTCTGGGCTTAATTAAGTATCGCGGCGTGTTACTCGCGAGCAGGCAACCTCTGCGTATCGCACTCGTGCCCACATCGTGTACGCTCTTCCAAACACACACATACGTACATACATAAATATATGTACTCACGCGTAAAAATGAATGATTCAGAGGTGAGTTATGTATTTTTTTTTTTTTTTTTTTTTTTATCCCCCAAAAACCTCGAAACAGACAGTCTGGTCTCTCCTCCCCCGCCCCAGCGCCGAGATTCCAATACGTATACTTATTAGTCCGTAAGAGCTCCCGCGGGTAAAAAAAGAATCTGAATCAAGTATTTGTCTTTGCACATCCGCATCGATCGCGATAGAAATTTCGTTCGCGGAAGCCAGAAATTTATCAAAAATACGAAACAGTACAATGTACACTGCAGAGAGTCAGGAATGGTATTTGGTGGTGGGGGGGGGGAAGGGGTATAAGCGCGCGTGGAATTCCAAAAATTCGCCAAATTAATCGGCAAAAATATGTGTATGATCATCAGCGATCGGCGAGATATGACAAATCGTACAAACATCCGACAGAAGGCAAGAAGCAAGAGCTGGGAAGGTTTCTGTCAAACGGAGGGTTGGAGGGACTGCCTGTGTATGTGTATATATATATATTTTTTACGGGGTTATCGATGACGCGCAGGCCATTATCGCGTGTTACACAGCCGAGCCCGAGAGATAATGATACGTGTACACCTGTGGTATCGGTATGTATATATACATAGGGGGATTCTCGCTCATCCTCCGGGAGATAGACGCATTGAAATCGTTGATATACGTATATACACGCAGGTGTGGGTAAAGTGCGCGCGAGAGTAGTGGGGCGTAATGTAATATGTGTTGTATACGCCGGAGCGTGCCGCCGCCGCCAACGCCGGTCCTATCCTACACCCGCCTACCATCCAACCTACCTATATAATGCTCGTGGCGGACGGGCAGCGCAACACAGTCCAAGTCACTGATGCAGAGATACCGCGACCCGCACAAGGGTTGCAGAGTCACTTAATTGTTCATAAGCATACCCTGTACGTACGAAGAGAGAGACTAACCGATCGGCCGATCGATTCATCTTTCGTTATCGCTTGTTATATTTCATAGTGCCGGTGCGAGTGTGCACGTAGTTTAACGCACAGTCATTGTCCATTGGGCGATATATTTTTTCTGTTGAGTTTGTTATTTCGCTAAAAGTGCGCAACGAAAGAAAAAGTCCCGGTTTTCCGGTCAAGATAAACACAATGAGTAGTAAAAGTATAATCGTTAGTGCAGCCACCCTCTTTGGGGTTGCGATATGCGTGCTCTGCGTCCTCGAGGTGGCTCAAGCGAGGCCGTCGTTGTCTGCGCTCAACAGGTGAGTTTGCCGATTTTTATCTTCCCCCCCCCTTTTGCTGTCAAAAATCGGTTAGCGATCGCGATCGGTACATACCGTGGATTTGAGTAATTTTCACTCCCTCGTACGCATAAAAGGGATCGTGTATCGCGATAAATTGTTAGCCTCGTTGAAATCCCTCAAACCCCCCTGACAAAGGTGTTAAAAAACGATCTATGGATTTTTTTATTCGCTTGTGAGTTCCACGAGCTATTTTACCCACCCCCTTCATGCATTACATTTATTTATATACTGTAATCATCGGATGATCCTCGAGAGCGGATATACCCTGTCTATTAGTTTGTTGATTATTTATCGTTTGTAATGGCCCGATTGAATGATTATACGGGGTGCTGAGGGGGGCAAAAAATCCCCAATTGAAAAAAGGCGAAAGTCAGCTTTGGTCCAGATCCCAAGTATGTGTAATACGGTATATTGGTACAGGTGGACCACGAATAATGCGGTAAAATAGAAGTCCCGCAAAGATTGGGTTGTTGGTGGGTATACATGTACACACGCGTGGTTGCATTTTTCGGCGTTCGTCTACCTTTTGTACGAGTTAGTAAGTATATATATATATATATGTATATATATATATATAGGTATACCGATGCGGTGTACATTTTGTGTATGCAGTCCGGTCATCGCGTCAAGTGCATGGCGCCCATCCATATAACACACATCCACTCGAACACGCGAAATGATGCAATTACAGCGCATAACGAAAAGCGCTTGATCGTCGCGTGTGTGACTATATGTGCCTTACCGATCTCTCCTCCACGCGATCGAACTCTCTTATCAGTGCGTCGCCCACTACCTACAATTACGTACCTATACGCATACAATATATATATATTCATATCTGTTCAAATGTACAATAGTTTGCGGGTATATACTTATAAGTGTAAGTGTGCTTATACGTCTGTAAAGTTGAAAAGCACCGCTTAGCGATTCGTTCATGAGACTCGATGGATCGTGCAATGATGTAACTTTTTTGAAAAATTCTAACTAATGAAAATTCGTAACTTTTTTTCTTGTAAGTATACTGTCGAACAGGCCCTATAAATGTTTCGTATTTTCATTGGATGATAGATATATACGTCAACGTATTCACAATGAAGTAGAACATATATTTTTATTTTATTGACTTGAACGAAAAACGGATGATTAGAATTGGAGGTATTACAAAAAATTGTGTCATGTACTTATAATATACGAATGTACGATTGCGTCGTGAGAAGTCATTGGGATTCACCAGTGCAACTGTTTTGATTAGAACAGATGTCGCGCAATGACTTTCCAATAACCGATACACTTAAGTATAAGCATTAAGTAAATTGTTAAAACGTAATTTTCGGTTTGCCTGTTGCAGCAGTCGAACGAAACGATTTTCGGACCAGAAAATTTTGGACATCGAGGCGAGAATAGCCTTAGCCAAGCTCAGGGGGAGACCCGTGATCGGCAGCCTCGGACAGATTGATCCTGGCAGAGCGTAAGTATACATTATTGCATTACTACCGATCACCCGATTTCAATGGCTGTCGTTTTTCATTGTACATCCAACGCATGTGATGCATCTTGTTTAATCTTTTGGTATAAAAAAAATTAAATAAAAAATCACGGTAGTTAAAAAACGACGGCTGCTGAAAAAAGTTGTGCAACCCATATCGAGATATGTACAATGTAAATCATCGTAAACTCGCACCCCAGGGACCCTAGGTATTTCCCTGAAATTAAAATTCCAATCACCCCAAACGCTGTTGATATAGTTACAAAAATGGCCTGGAGTATGATTGGAGAGTAAAAGACTTTAGCTGAAAAAAAAAAAAAAAAAAAAAGGAGCTACGGTAACCAAACGTAGTTGGTGCGTGCACTAATGTACGGAAATACCTGCCCACGCTTGCCTAAGAAACGAAGTCAAGAGTATATCTAAGGTCTCGGTGAAAAAGTGCTTGGCTCGAAGCGCAAGGATGAAAAAATAGAAAAGCGTGCGACGGACGCGCTTAAAATTGAATGAAAGCGAGGGAGATGCGCCCCTCCCGGGAAACGAGCTTGATTGTGTTTACGGGCTCGGGAGCTATGCAAGGCAAGTGACACGTTTTAATGAATATGGCCCGTAGAACTTTGTTATACACCCTGTCCCTCTTTCAAACGACAATTTTCACCGTTTCGCGACACAATGTATATATATATATATATATATATATATATATATATATACACACATTTATACCTTCGTTAAACATCGTGAAAAGTTGTTGATTTCCATTATACCGGGTCTCGAGATGAAAAAAAAAAAACGTCCGTGTACCGATATGATATGTCCCCGACGTAGTGCCAACGAGCACCTACACGTGATTTTTTTTTACAAAGACAGATCAATCGATTGGCAACTCGATGTAATATATTAAACAACAATTTGTGACGCTCGACTGACGCGGGTGCATGTAAATTGTAAAACGAAAAAAAGATATTAGGGAACAAGCAGGTGCTCATCGATACCATTGATCCGCATTTGAAAGGCGCGTAGTTGCGAGAAAAATACAGGCCCCCATCCATCCGTGTCGGAGCGGAAGGGTATGAAAAAAAAAAAAAAAAAAAAAAAACACCCGCTCGCAAAATAATGTATTCTAGCACACGAGCGTACCTATGTACATACATATATACACAGTGGAGGGGAAAAAAAGGCCGAGGGGGTAAGAAAAAAAAGACGCGTAGAGTGGCACTGCTGATCTCGGGTCGTAGCCGCATTACGCGAGAAGAAAGGAAAAGAGACGCGCTTCCTTGAAAATAAGTACGTATACACACCGACAATAGAAGGTGTATATTATACCTATTCGGTTCGCGCCTTCCCGTGTATACATAAGCAGGTTAGCGCAACGACACACGCCGGGAATAATACGTATGTCGCGGAGCGCAAAAATTTATTCGCTATGAGGGAACTCCCACGCGGAGGGTTCTGTCGAGGGCTTTTCTTGTATTCATTCCTTTCCAAGTGGAGCTCGTTACGTCCGATTCTTTGCTGTTGTACTGGTTATGAGCCGCTCCGATGGCCCAAAAGATCGCGTAGGTGGGGCGGGAAATTGCCTTAAATCGAGGCGTAAATCGGTTGGACAGCCGATGATACGTTTGTTTGAGATGAGTGCGTGTGCGCGGCTGGAATAAGGCGAATTAAGAGAAAAGGTAAACAATGTGAGTCACGGGCGACCACGTGAGAGTTGAATGGGGCACGCGTGTAACGATTAATTTTAGAAATCGGTAACTACCGGCTAATCCGCATTCCGGAAAAACGTATCTTTTTTTTTTTCTTTTTTGACGAATTTTCGCGTCGCGCCAAGTGACAAACCCATCGGGAGAATAACACGCTCGATCGGGATGTATCGTCACCAACTGAAAGATACAGGCCCGATCGAGCCTCTGAATGATGACAAACGCGATCGGCCGACGGTTGAAAACAGCATTCCTCCGGCTTTTTTAAAAATAAGCTCAAGTTCTAAAAATGCCTCGCGCACATTTTACTCCTCGAACCTCGAGATTATCATTTTTAATTCCCATTGCTTACACATATATATTATGTACGTGGACGCGGAAATCATTCATTGACGCAAAGAGGAAAAAGCACACGATACTCTTCGTACAAATTTACACATCCCTCCATCTGCATGATATTGCACAACGAAATATCGCAGCGTACGCGCGGGAGTTAATAACTTATATGCAATTTTGTTTTTTTCATTTCCTGCGCATGCAGTGGCCGCACCCGTAGATCCAACATCGAGCCTGACCTCAAGAAGCTGCGCCGCATCCTGAGATCCGACGCCAACGACGAGGACGACAGAGGCATCAGGATGGTCCAGGAATTCCTTCGGGTAAGCCATATCCTCCCCTCGCGTTGTACCTCACACTTTGGAAAAATATAACAACACGTGTATTCTTCTTCTTCTTGTTTGCAGTGGTTGAAGTACAAGGAAGCGGAGGCCGAGAGCAATCGAGTCGATGATTACGACGGGCTCTACTAAGCCGGGGAGCCGCCAAATTAATCACACGGTTGCAAGTTCCCGTCCCCCTAGCCCCTCCCTCGCCGCTGCCGCCGAACAGTATTAACTATACTATAACTTATTGTTACTATATATGGTTTTATTTGAATTTCAAGTAAATCTCCGCCTGGGAGATGCACGCATAGATGATGAGAGGAATAAGTCTTGCTACTACGATTGCCATTCGGACGAATCAATTTTGCCATTGGTTTTTCGTACCCGTACTTTGCCGCTGCTGTAGTTTTGTTACACTTTTTTTTTTTTTTTTTCACGCATTGTTTACAGTATGTTTGATTAGTATTGGGGTTTTTTTTATTTTTTTTTTTTTTCCATTCGGTGCTCAGATACAAGTGGCCAAACTTTTCGTTGGTATATATTTTTATCGATACACATTGCCACTTTGAGATCATCAAATGTATGCTTCGCGTGTTCGTTATTTATTTATTTGTACATGTAAGTACTTTTTTTTTTACCTCAAGTAACTCGTCGATCTTGCATTTGCCGATTTTTTTGTTTCTGAACACCGAGTTTTACCCGACTATTCCAAGCGTTAAATCATAAGTATGTTTATTTCAAAGCCAATGCATTAGGTTTATTTAATTTAAGTGTAGGTAGATAATAGATAGGTATTCTTATTTAGATTAGTCATCATTTTTAACACTGAATGGCGAGGTACAGAAAATATCCTTAAATGCTACATATGTATACTTATATTATATATAGTTGTAACTGTACTTTGTGTATATATTTAGGCGTTTTAAATTAATTTCAATTGAGAATGTGAAGAAGAAAAAAAAAAAAAGCGTAAATGCATGTACGAATACGCATACGTACATTCATGGGCGACACAATTAGTTGGAACAATAATTGTTTTTGATTCCGAGTATCTCACGCACAATATTACATTACCTACTAGGGAATGTTTTAAAACTTTACAACAAGTAGATTTTTTTAATGGTTTTTTTTTTTTTTTTTTTTTTTCATCACTTTCAACAATAGTGTTGTCCATGAGTTTACTCTCAATTTTCGTATTATCCATACATATGCCTACAGCAGTATTTTAACTATAGAGTTACGGTATTAAATGTGTCTCCGGTAAGCGCATTACTGTATCTAAAAATTATTCATTTCGAATTTTTTTTTTTTTTTTAATCGACGCTCAGTTGTTTGACAATAACAATAATGTCGTTTTTGGGTAATGTATGTAAAAAATTTTAATTTGTCAATCGACGAATAATTGATTTGTTACCTCAGTTATGTATTATAGTGGTATCAGCTTGCTGATGACTATATTATTTTTGATTTCATTGAGATGATTTTTTTATCGATCGAATATCAAGAAATCGCACGACTTTTTCTATAGTAATCTTTTCGACGAGTGCCAACAATTAATTGTGTTATCGTATCCGCGCGTATATACGCAACGTAATACGCGTTATCTTCCACATTCCTCTGCAATCTTTTGCGAGTCGAAGAATCACGAGCCGAAAGAAATCTCTAGTAAGTGTAGTAGAAAACTCATGAGTATTAATTGTGATTAGTCAAACAAGGCTTGTTTATCTTGCTAGTATTTTAATTATATATACATATATTGTATAATTATAGTGTAATGATACGTTATCGCCATCAATCATATATATGTATTCACAAGTTTCGTGATTTTTTTAGTCATTTACATGTACATGTATTGCTCTTGAAACTGCTGATTAGTTGGATAAAAAAACACGTATTTATCAACTGTCCGACGTAATTATATGATTCTGTAAGAATATTTTTTACTTTGGTTGGAATTATTAGCATTAAAAGTTGTAAAATTGAAAGGAAAAATTATTATTAATCAGGAAAAATGAATGTGACAAAGATAGGTATTAATTAGAAAAATATGTAAAAGTTATACGATGAGTCCGTGTGACACAACATGCAAACGTCCGAACTACAAATAGATCGATATATAAATGCATACAAGTTGTAATTTTTATACGTCACATTTTTTTACCTTTGAATCCTTACCTCCTTACCCAACTTCAAATTACGGCCCCTAATTGAGAAAAATGTTGCTTTTGATTGTCACCATAAGTGAAAAATACAAAAATTTTTACCTGCAAAGCATAAATATGTGTATAAATTCAATTTTCAGTTCACCTGTCGCTTGCGGATTCTATACAAAAATTACTTAGTTATACACATACATAAATACCATTCTGAAATATAATTAAAATTCCTTTTGCTTTTGCTTGATTAATCGTATCAATTATTTTTTTAATTCATTGTCAAACGAGGCTTGTTGAATCATAAAACAACGTAAAGTAATACATAAATATAAAAACCAATAAATCCACTCGAGTTTTGTTTGGTCGTACATTAATTTTTCATGTATATTCACACCCGTATGTGCATTCTTAACAGCTCGTAATCACAATCGGAGCATACCACACGATGATTATAATTTTTTTTTTTTTTTTTTTTACCTCTGCGCTACAAGTTAAAACAACATGAACAACTACATGGACATTTCTGGTGCCATTGTTTGGGAATGGTGCGCGTTTGGGTGCACAGGCGTGCGTTGGCGTATGTACGTCGGCTTAGCACAACGAAGAGAGTCTTTTCAGATTAGATAAGCTAGAGAGAGCCTTTTCTAGCTAAATGGCAATAAAGGGAGTAAGAGAGAGTTGCCTTTTCGAACCGAACGACAAGAGAAAGGGCTATAGCCATTTCTAATAAAACTTTTTTGCTCTCGTGGATCGTACGTGTGCATTTTGCCGACTTAAAATCGGAGGAAGAATACATTCGTTTGAAATGGCACCCTCATTTCCTTGGAACGGCTCTTTATGGCCATTCAGTTTCGAAAAGGCTTTCTCTTGCTGTCTAATCTGAAAGTTATACTCTTTGTTCCGCTTAGTCAACAATAAAAGAACAAAATTCAAATTTGTTTGAGACACTCGAACTTGAAAAGAATGTATGGTCCGCTGGAAAATTGTTAAATTGTCATAATATTTCAAACTCGGCATCGAATATTCTCAAATAGTAAAATACCATCCAAATCATGAAAAAAAAAAAAAAAAAAAAAAAAGGAGCTACGGTAACCAAACGTAGTTGGTGCGTTTTTTTTTTATCCCCCAAAAACCTCGAAACAGACAGTCTGGTCTCTCCTCCCCCGCCCCAGCGCCGAGATTCCAATACGTATACTTATTAGTCCNATTGTCATAATATTTCAAACTCGGCATCGAATATTCTCAAATAGTAAAATACCATCCAAATCATGAAAAAAAAAAAAAAAAAAAAAAATGTTTTTGGGCGAACATTTACATCACGGACGTGTCCACCAGATATAGATAATCAAACAATTCTAATAATTTGTCTCAATTATTGTACATACAGTGGAACCTTAGAGCATATACATAGTGGAACTTCGATTTGTCCTGGATACTATTGCGGAACTATGGTGTAAGCTATAGCCTTATAAGGTAATGTTCCGCAATAGGGTCTTGGACAGATCAAAGTTCCACTGAGTCTACTTATTATATTGTGTTGAAATGATCCATCGGTTGTTATTGATCACATGATTGTACCATACATTATGCATAAAACGTTTGACCTGTTTAATCACTGCAAATAGAAAAATATACCTTCTTTCAAAGTTGTAGGTGTTTACATTACCGATCATAGAGTGCAGAAGTGTAGCACACCAACACTATTCACGTTAAAACATATATACACACACATACGCATGTACCTATGAGTGTGTGTTATTTTCCTCTCTCTATCTTTCTTATGGTTTGGAATTGGAAGTTTTGCACTTTCAGCTCACAGTTCATGCAGTCTGCTGAACATTCTCACTCTAAATTCTACTGTTGCGTTTTATGGGTGTATAATTTTACATCCATACACTTTATTGCCTTTGTAGTACTTTGTACACCCTGTACTCCCTGTACCCTAGTTGATGCTCTAAATAAGAGTTCTTTGAGTGATACATCAAAGCGACTACTCGTCCACTCGAAGTTTTACTCACAGTATCTTCCATTCTCTATAAGTTTTATATTTTTTTTCTTACCCATGTAAATTAACTAAATCAAGTGTTTTCGTCGAGCTTACATCAAAAGTAAGTAGGTACCTAAACCGAAGTTCCAACACTCCAAAGTGTGCAGTGATGATGATGATAAGGGACTGCAGCATTGTTGCTGCTGCTAAAATGCCTTTCGTCTCGTCAGCTGATTAAGGCGTGTTTCTCTCACACTCGAATACTTAACAACTAGTGTTACTTGGACAGTCATTATTGGCTTTAATAATACAATCAATTGACAAATAAGTTTCGTGCTCTATTCTCTCACGCGTTGTTACACTTCATGTTTTCATCTCTGTCATCGACTCTTGTACTGCAAAAAGTGCGCTCTTTTAGGAAGTGCATAGAACTAGGGGGCTGTTTAAACACCTCCATTAAGTACACTTACATCAGGCCCTATTGCTTGTGAAAAAGCCATGTGTTACTGTGTCACTGTTGTAAGTACTTCTATGATTGTTTGCTTGGAGGCTTGTGAATCCTAAGAATGAGCAGCGTTGAAAGCTTGCTGGGAGGAGGTGCACCTGTTGAGGATCGATTCTGTTAATTGTGCAGTGGTCCACAGCAACTGTGATGCTGCTTGGAATATTTTATGCATCTCCCTGCTCTTCTATGCATCTCCCTTTTTCTCCTTTCCTTGCCAAGAAGTTTCAACTGTGCAGTACAATAGCAACATGTTCTCGTCATCGACCTCATTGGTGGGTGAGCCACAGGACTACGATTTTACAAAAGAGGAAAATGCAGCCAAATGGAGGGGAGTCTTTGTCAACTCCCTCAACAAGGTACACTTTATTTTACTTGATATTGAATTTTATCTTATTTCACTATTGCCCACAATATTACTATTACTACCGTTACATGAGCGGTACACCAAATTAGAGTACAAAGTTAAAGAAGCTTATGATTTTAGGTTCTAGAGCAGGTTCATCCTAGCCTCGAAGCACGCCAAGATGCTTTGGATTTTGTTGAAAATTTAATTCTGAGAATGCTTGGTATGTTATGTGGGCATCCACCTCCTCATACACCTCAAGACATAGAAGAAAGAGTACGCCGTACTTTTCCTACACCCATTGATAAATGGGCTCTTAGGGATGCAAAGGAAGCATTAGAAAAAGGAAAAAAGAAATCTGTTCTAGTTTTACCAGTGGAAAAAGTGCATCAACTATTACAAAAAGTAAAATTAAAATTTACGTTTAACAACACATTTCATACATTGTGATTTACTTATTTTCGTCGATTTTACTATTAACAGGAAGTCTTACAACATAAAATAGACTGGCAAGTTACTCTATTTGTTGTTGGAGTTTTAGAATACATATCGGCAGATATTTTAAAAGTGAGTTATGCAGTTCATTTTATTGATGTTATTCTACTGACAATAATCTAACGAAAAAATATCATTTTAGCTCGCTGGTAATTATGTAAAAATTATCCATAATGTAGAAATATGTTATGAAGACATTAAAGTTGCTATGCACGCCGACAGTGTAAGAACAATATTTCTTTGATTGTATATTCCACAGTGAATAGAACGTAATCTAGATGTTGATGAATTTTATTTTGTCTAGGTCTTAATGGACATGTTTTATCAAGACGACTTTAATGATGGCCAAAGTGAGGAAAGTGAGGAAGGAGCCATAGTATCTCAAACCTATGAAGAGTCGGTGCGAGATCTCATTCAAGATGAGCGCCAGTACCTGCGAGATTTGCAGATGATAATAAAAGTAAGCCTATTAGTTTATCATTTCATTTTTTTATTAAAAAACCAAGGTGTTGTTTTTCCGTTTAATTGTATAACATTACCTTTTTTTTTTTTTTTTTTTTTTTTTTTTGTTTTTCCAGGTCTTCCGAGAAGAAATTGCAAAGCTCACCCAGGATAGCGCTGAACTTGAGATGTTGTTTAGTAACATCACCGATCTCTACGAATTGACAGTAAATTTACTAGGCAGTCTTGAAGATGTTATGGAAATCACTGAAGAGAAGCAAACGCCAACTGTTGGCTCTTGCTTTGAAGAATTAGCCGAGGCAGCGGAATTCGACGCATATGCAAAGTAATTCGTGTGTTATAGATCATGTAAATGGTAAAGTTATAATACGTATTAACGTCTGATTATGTTGATAATTAGGTATGTCCAGGATATCTCCAGTCCCAAGTGCCGCGAGGTCTTGACGAAGATTTTGTCAAGACCAGAAGCCAATGCGGCATTGAGAGCTGCTGGTCATGGCTTCAAAGAAGCTGTGAAATATTATTTGCCAAAACTGTTGATGCAGCCAGTGTGGCATTGCTTTTTATATTTTGATTACATCAAGGTGTTGCACAAACGCTCGCGAATTAAGGAAGACACAGAAACGTTGTTTCAGGTGCAAAGTTTATTGAACTCGTTACAATTTGATTTAGAAAAAATGGAAGTGGGTAAAATTAAGAGAGATAGTAGCGTGCGTATGCAAAGTCGAGCCCGCAGACGAGCAGCTCTCGAGAAAACAAATGAAATGAAACGAACAGTTGAAGGTTGGGATCAGAAAGACATTGGTCAGTGTTGCAATGAATTTATTAGAGGTAATTGGATATTTTAATACATTACTACAGGTTCTTTTACCTAAAATTTGTATAATTATTAAATTTACTAATGGTTTATATATTACAGAGGACACTTTGGTGAAAGTTGGTGGTAAAAATCGTAGATTGACAGATAGAAAAGCTTTTTTATTTGATGGCTTACTAGTATTGTGTAAGCCATGCAATAGTAAAAAAATTGGTGTGGGTGTTTCTGCAGTTGCAGTTACACATCATCAAAATGACTACAGGCTAAAAGAAAAATTTTTCATCCGAAAAATAGATATAATAGACAGAGAGGATACAGATGGTATGTAGTTAATTTCACATACTTTGAGAAAAATACTTCAATATTTTCAATATTGATAATTCGTAAACAAATTTTTTTTTAGAACTAAAAAACGCCTTTGAAATAGCAACTAGAGATAACACAAATGTCATACTAGTGGCAAAGTCTCCAGAAGATAAGAATAGCTGGATGGCCGATCTCGTAATGTTTAATACGAAAAGTATGTTGGAACGCACATTAGATAGCATTCTTTTGGACGAAGAAAGGAAGCATCCGTTGAAATTACCTCCTCCAAGTATGTATAGATTCGCCGAACCAGACAGCCCAAGTAATATTATTGTGGAAGCAAGAGAAAAGGGTGGTCCACCTTTTATCAAGGCAGCGACCCTTGTAAAATTAGTGGAAAGATTAACTTACCATATTTACGCGGATCCTGCGTTTGTTCGAACATTTTTGACGACATACAGGTTTGTGAACAAAGAATTGCCATTGAGTACTCATTATATTGATAAATTTATGTAAAGTTTCATTAATTTAACTTTTTGAAAAAAAGGAATTTTTGTTCGCCCCGAGAATTATTGACGCTATTGACAGAAAGATTCGACATTCCGGACCCGGCTAAAGTTTACGACGTAGATTTGAATAGTGGTAAAGCGATTCCAAAAGAGGACTTTAAACGCTATCGGAAGGAATTTTGCCAGCCTGTTCAGTTTAGAGTACTGAACGTTTTGAGACATTGGGTACGTCTACGTTGTTAATCACATTTGCTCGATTTCATGTGAAATTTATTTTAATTTAATCTATTTTTACAGGTGGACCATCATTATTACGATTTTCAAAAAGATGCGACACTTTTGGCTGAGTTGGAAATATTTTTGGCTATGGTCAGTGACAATTGTAAATCTATGAAAAAATGGGTGGATTCGGTTAAAAAAATCGTGCAAAGAAAACAAAAAAACAAATCGGAGCAAGAAAACATTACCTTTAGTTTTGAGCGGTCACCACCGCCTATCGAGCGGCATTTAGATAATCCTTCCAATACTACTACGAATACTCCTACCACAGCTAATACAACTAGTACTACATCTTATGCTAATCAATTGGAATCGGCAGGACCTCTTTTAACGGTATGATAATACCAAGTTATTTGCACTTTTGAATATCTCAAATGATTAATTGCTATGAAATATTTGTTTCAGTGCCATCCTATTGAATTAGCAAGGCAATTGACTCTGTACGAATTCGAATTGTACAGAAAAGTTAAGCCTTCGGAGTTAGTAGGATCAGCTTGGACCAAAAAAGATAAGGAAACGACATCGCCTAATCTTTTGAAAATGATTAAACATACGACCAACGTAAGATATTTAAAAGTTTTTTTTTTCCAACGAAAATTTATCTCTTCAGTATGGGTATTACACTTTCAATAGCCCAAAACAAAAATATAATTTAAATTTACTCCCAACAGTTTACGAGATGGCTGGAGAAGAACATTTTAGAAACTGAAAACTTTGAAGAGAGAGTAGCCATAGTTTCTCGTGTCATTGAAATATTAATGGTTTTACAAGAATTGAATAATTTCAATGGAGTCCTATCTATATGCAGTGCCATTTTTTCTGCAGCGGTATTTCGGTTAAATCACACGCTTACAGTGAGTAACTAAAACTGAGCTACGTTAAGAATTTTTTTTTTTTTTTTTTTTTTTTTTTATGATACAGATTATCGAAAAACACTATTTTACAGCATTTGCATCCACGTTTGGAGAAAGCTTTAAATGATGCTGCGGAACTTCATGCTAATCACTATAAAAATTATCAAGAAAAATTGCGCTCCATAAATCCACCGTGTGTGCCCTTTTTCGGGATGTACCTGACCCTCATTTTGCATATGGAAGAAGGTAACGAAGATTTTCGGGATAAAGAGTGTACTCTAATAAACTTTAACAAGAGGCGATTAGTAGCCGAAATAATTGGAGAAATACAACAATATCAGAATCAACCATACTGTTTGAGTGTGGAGCCCAATATACGAAAATTCATCGAAGAACTCCAACCATTCGATCGCGATATGTCTGATTCAGAAATAAATGATTACATCTATGAAAAAAGTATAAAAATTGAGCCCAGATGCAGCAAAGCGCCCATAAAAGTGGTGAGTACCTGGTTACATCTTGTAATATTATTTTGCGCAAGAATTATTTCAGCCTCGTCATCATTATGTTTTTTTGCTGCTTTGCAACTTAAGCCTCGAAAATGGCCGAACGTGTCTTTGAAAACTCCGGGCATAAAAGCGCGAACTTTGAGCGGCAAACTACCAGCACCTCTTCAAGCTGTAGCGTCCAGCGTCAGATTGCACGATCCGCCATCGACGTCAGCGACGACGGCTCAAGAAATTCTGGCTTCCTCGGAACTACGAGAATCTTCACCCCAGAGGTCTTCGTTTTCCATGGGTCAAAGCGACCACAGCAACTTTATACAAGCACTTCTTGGAGGTACCTTCGTCATCTTAATTCGACCTTACCTCGATTTCGTCATCTTTAATTCATTATCATTTATCTCTCGTTTGTCGCGAATCAGGTACAACAGCTCGTTCTCCAGGCTCACCAGGCGTGGCTCACAGTATATCGAACTTGTCGATCGGATCGCCGGGTAACAGTCCCCAGCTCGGCTCGCCTGGCCATCTCAGCCACCAGCACCAAGCTTCCATCGGCGGGAGCTCGATAGACTTTAGCTTTTACCCGCACATTTTCGGCATAATGAGCGGGAGCACGTTGCCAAGCTCGATGTCGAGTAGTCCTGGTGCAACGCATCCACACCCGTCCTCGCCCAGTCCCCATTTTGTCCCCGACCAGATCAGCCAGCCACCACCGTTGCCACCTAGAAGACAACCGCGAGAAAACAGCCTTGTCGAGTCACCTCAACAGGTACTTATAACACTGTTCTCCTTTTGCTCGCCTCTCCTTTACCAGCAGAAATGTTTTTTCTTCGATTGCCTCAGTGTTTCGATGTCCCTGGATCGTTATTTCGTTTGCTGCAGACAAACGAAAAGTCTCACGAGTCTCCGCCAGCGGTGCCCCCGCGGGATCATCCAAATTCGCCTCCTCCGCTGCCACCGAGGCAAAGCCTCTCCTCGGCGACTTTACCGCCACGACTCCCGGATACGTTCAATCCCAACGAGTCGGTACTCATGGCCAGGCGAAACTCAAGCTTGGGCAGTTCCAGTTTAATAAATCCAGGCCACACCAGGAGGTACATGTCGATCAACGGACCCAGTCCACCGATACCGACGCCAAATCAATCGCCCAACGGTAAGTGTAGAGTGTAATGTTGTCTGGGTAAGATTGATTAAGTAGGATAGCTTCGTCATAAAACTCTCTTTTTCTAGGATCGATAACACCGAGATTACCACCAAAGCCGGGCAGATCATCCGTAACAATGTTCAATTTTAATTCTCCCCAAGGGTCTAGCTAATACAAACATTCATTGACATGTATGCGATGGTAGAAAAAACAAAAACTTGAAAGATATCAATTCCTAGTCTAAGAACATAACAGTGCCGCGAATGATTGTGTTCCTGACGTAAGCGGATATATGTACGTATGCATGTGAAATCCCATTTTATTGTACACGCATTGCATGATTTGTCAAATAGATTAACATGTGTATGTGTCGGTGTGCAATAGTGTGAGTGTGATATTGTAAGATACTGTTGCAGCGGAAAATTAACAAAAATCTCTGCCCTGGACCGCAGCGAGGAGGTGGTTCTGCTACATTCCATATACTCATACAATTAATTTATGCAAGTCTTGGACGCTCGTAGTAAACTTTTCGTAGTACTTTTTGTCTATTTTTCTATTTTTCAAGCGGTTAGAAGCCATTGAAACGTGTACATACATTTTTTTTTTTTTTTTTTTTTTTTTTTTTTTTTTTTTTTTTTACAGCAGGAATCTGCATTACGCATGGTTATTGAATCGAAAATTGTTTATATATTTTAATAAATTATGCCCCTACAAAAAAAAAAACAAAAAAAAACTAGTTAATACTAAGATTCGTTTAGCATGTTGAAATTGATATCTTAGATAAACCACATGACATTCATTTGACTGATTACTCGGCTTTTGACAATTATTGACTTTGATCTTCTTTTTTTATTGATTTGATAATCAATTAGCTTGAATCAATGCCACCACTGTCGTCTAATTCCAATTTAAAATATTATTTCTATTTTCCAAACCAAACTGTGATACATTTTTAATAACTAATCGTTATGAATCAGTACAGTTGAGTGGTTCTATGCATCATAATTTAGTGGACATAAATACAGTAAGCCTGTAAAGTGACAGCGTGCACTTTTGCTGCACTTTGTAGATAGTGTACAATGCAAAAAATAACCGTTTCACTGTGAAATAATTGTGTATGTTAAAATGTTAGAAATATAAAAAAAAAAAATAAAAAAATCACAAATCGAATAAAAAGTTGCGAACAAAAAAAGGAATAGGAAAATTTTTTAAATGAATTGTCACAAAAGTTCACAGTCTTTGTAAAAGCCAGTTCGTTTATTATTACAGTGTATATTTTACAGTTAATGATAATTATACATATTTTCTATATACATCGTTGCAAATACATTGAATCAATGTTCATCATATCGTTTTTGCCATCAAATTCGACATTTTTACTTCTTCATGACTGTTGAGGAGAAATTTCGAACTTTGTGAATTTGAACTTAGTGGATTTACTTTTTGTTGATAGTAAAAAAAAAAAAAACAATAAAAATAAAGCACTAAGATATGTGAAAATAATGAAGAAAATATTGTGTAGTATATCCGTTGTGTACATAAATTTTGAAAGAATTAATAAATATAATTTTAAAAGCATACGTAACAATTGGCATTAATCCTGAATTTACTCGAGATAATCAAGTATTTTTTTTTTACACAAATCAAAAATTATGCATCTATACACAATGATGTATATTTATTTACACGCAATTTAATTATTTACTAAATTTAAGTAACCCATACATACTTACATATGTACAAGTAAAATACTAACGTAGTATAACACGACTAATCTCTTGCCCTAAAACGGTGCTCCATACAGTGTCAACAGCACGCAGTCTTGATCGAAATGGAACAAACAATCTACTGATTTTTTTTAAAATCAAGTACGAAAAGTGCACTCGTATACATATGGTTCAATTGTTTTAAGGCAGTTTACTTCAATTGGTATACTTATTGGGATAAAAACCAAGCAACTTTCACGCAAATCGGCGCACGTATTCCAATCACAGAAAATATCATGTAGGTATTATTATACACTAAAACTCGTAAAATAGTTAGAATAATGTACCAATAAGGTAGAAGCACATACAAGAGTATGTCGATTGAAATCCCGTGCAGAGAGAGAGAGAGAGAGAGAGAGAGAGAGAGAGAGAGAGAGAGAGAGAGCACAGTGAAACGCAAACCAAAACTCTGCACACGCTTGAACGTACACCCAAACGGAAATACAAAAAAACTGCGGTTGGACTCAAGAGATCTGCTCCCAAGCGACGGAACTATTGGCCTCGGCCGCGTGCCTCCGTTGCACCGGAGTCGAGACTTCGACGTGGGCGTCGAGGCCGTCGCTGAGCTTGCTGAACCGGCGGGCCCACGTCGAGCGCGTGATACCTGGCCTGGCGGCCCCGAGACCCGCGTCCCTCAACACCGAGAACAAATCCTCGTCGGCCTCCCGGTTGCGCATGCCCTTCTCGTACTTGGCCTCCTGGGCGAGCAGCTTCTCGCGCTTCATCTGCGTCGCCAGGGAACGCGGCACCTCCGGTATTATGTAGCTCATGATGCCCGTGAGCGCGAACACCTGCCACGACAACCCACCACGTGAATACACGAGTATGGGAGAGCTGCTATGTACTACTCACTATGTGCTCGAAGATGACGACGAAGGCGAGCCTGGCGGCGAATATGTGCCAGTACTGGGGACTTAGGCCGTAGGGGTCGCGGTGCTCGGGTCCGTTGCGGTAACCCCGGTACTGGCAGATCTGGGGCGCGTCTCTCGACTCCCTCGGCCGCATGGCTTCCGTGAAATGCGACGTGTTGAAGTCGGACAGCGAACTGTCGATGTAGCCGCGCAGATCCTCCGTCGGCGAGTACACCACCTCGTACACGTACCTCGGGATAAAGTCCGACGTGTACGCTATCACGAACGCCTGGGTAAACATTTGCCGCAAAACAGTTAATCAACAACCTGTATACAAACTCCCTGTCTACAAGATCATCGGGTGGGATGATGCCGATAACTCACCCGAGATTTCGTCAAAAGTATCATTTACTAAAAAGAAATACTTTATTAGAAATCTCGGGTGAGTTTTTGGGCACGGATTATCTGGCAAGGGATCGTGATGATGAGGAAAAAGAAAAAAAAAAAAAAAAAAAGGGGGACGTTACGTTGGAGACGACGGCCGCGTAGGTGACTCCCTTGAGTATGCCGTACCAGGCGCCGATGTTCTCGACCCTGTCGGCGAGCGGCCTCCGCGCCTCCTTGATCATCTTGTACGCGTCTAGGCGTATCTCGGCAATGTTGTTCAAGAGCGCGAACAGCGGCGCCAGGGGGAACGCCGCGACAAACAGCGTCACGAAGCCATACTGGATGACTAAACAAAAACAAAAACAAACAAAAATGTCACTCTTTGTTTGTCTACGTATATGTGATGATGATGATGACGAGGTTCTCTCACTCATTTCCAGGTACTCGTCGAACAGGGCTAGCCTGCCGGGGTCCTGGAGCTGAAAGTCCTGCTCCCAGCTGGTGTAGGGCCTCGACTGGTCCTTGGTCGCGGCCGCGTGGGAACGCTTGCGCCACCAATTGACCATCTTCGGGGACAATATCTCGACAAAGTTGTTGAACACCTGCTTGCCGACCATTATTATCGCCAATTGGATGCACACCTCGGACAGGCAGCCCGACGCGTCGCACACGTCCGTGCGGATCTTGTAGAACTCGGACGAGCGCGACTCCACGTCCCCGGGATGCACGTAAAATCTTCCCTGCGTGTTAATGTTTATTGGCCACCTCGAGTGCAGTGCTACATGGTCATGGTATATATATATATATATACGTGTGGCGAGTTCACCTTGAAAAAAGCAATGTAGATGAGGGAAGAGTAAAAGTTGACGAATTCAAAGAGAAAGATCTTGAAGGTGAAGCTGGCCTCGTACTCGGTCTGAGTCCTCGGGTTCTCCATGTTGACCATCCAACGGGCGAGTTTCTGGTAGATGCGCGTCAGTATCATGATGATGATCAGGTTGATGAAGGCGGCAGTCAGCGAGGTGAAGATTTTGGCGTGGCGCTTCAAAAAGTAGCCGCCCCCGTGGAAGGTAGCGATCAGAGATATGCGGTACATGATGGTTCCGAGCACCGCTGCCAGGACTACGCAGATCTGCGGGTGTACAAAGAGGCACACGCGTATAGATTGGGGGTAATGTTGCGTTTTTTTTTTTTTTTTTTTTTTTTTTTTTTTTTTTTTTTTTTCCTTTCGTACCATGAAAAAGACCATCGAGCCGGTCGCCACGTAGCGCAGCGTCTTGGACCAGACCGGGAGGTAGGGCTCGCGCTCCCTCGTCACCGGGTTTATGCGAAACGTTTTGACGCTCGTCTCGAACTCTGGTCGGGGCTCCTCGTGGCCGTCGTCGTTCTGCAGGTCCCACTCCCACGCGAGCACCGCCTGCTTTCGCTTCCACATCTCGAGGAACGTTGTCGCTGAACATTGCGAGACAATTGTTATCATCGTGTTTTTTGTTGTTGTTACTTTGTATACCGATCAACTCTATCGCTTACCCCAAAAGGACATGAAAATGGCGAAAAAAACGGTCGATGCGTTGTCGAAGAGGTAAGTCAGTCTGGCAAAGAGACACGAGTCTCCCAGCTTTGTGTACGGGCACGCCTTGTCGCACAGCGGACACAGCGTTATGTTACCTGCGGGTAGTTGGTTTTGGTTGGAAAAAAAAAAAAAAAAAAAAAAAAAAAAAGAAAAAAAAAGTGACGCGCTTACCTGCCACCGAGTAGTTGCAAATTTCCTTGCTCGGGGTGTTGTTGGCACTGTCCATTGTCGAGAGGCCGTAAATGAAGCACAGCAGTCCTATGATGGCCGGCAGATAAAGAGCCCGCGTGTAAAAGCCCAGCCAAGCAAAGTAAAGCGCGACCTTTTCCCCAAAGTACCGGCGTATCAGCCAAATCGGCTGCTTCTTGTACCTATATACATATACACAAGTCAAAGCACATTTATATAATATATTCCCCCCCCCCTCTCCTTTCTCGTACGCGATTCATGATGTATATACTTACCACTGCCCCGGTCTGGCCCATATCATGTAGAGCAGATACCTGTCGAGGGTCTGTCCGTCGCTCGTTGGCTTGTTGTACGGGCCCTCGTGCATCGGGTAGCAATCAATGTAAGTCCCGTCGGCCAGTAATCGCCTGATACCCGATTTCTCGTGCACCTCGTCGTACTTGGCGCGCAACAGTATTTGCATCACTATGAGGGACCTTTGGGCTGGCGTGAACGCCGCGTCCCGATCTTTCACGATGAACCTGCTCGCGCGTAATTTTTTTTTTTTTTTTTATCCCAAATATAAACATCGGCACTCGAGTCTATATATACAAATTACCTACATACGTGTGTATAATATATTATAGCGGTAAGCGTTTGTCAAACGGCACTTTAATTACTCTCAGTAGAAAAGGACAACGTGCGGTCAGACGCTACGCGGTGACAGTAGTGTATTTTTTTTTTTTTTTTTTTTTTCCCCCACGCTACTTGTGTTGTGTGTACAATGTTTATGAGGTATAAGTATACTCATTACGTAACTTTTTCCCATTCGTAAGTAGGTGTATATTATAATATACAGGTGTATATAGCAACGAGCTGGTCGTACACACAAAGATACAGAAAAGTTGACCCTCGCGATGAAATATTAACGGTAGAGTTATGCACTGTAATATCGAGCTACAACACTAGTTTTACGTAGTATTAACGAGTGTAACTCTATTGTTGTTGTTTTTTTTTTTTTTTTTTTTTTTACCCAATTTTTCATAAAAAAAATAAGACAACAAAGGGAATAATTATCGTTCTTTTCATATTTTTTATTTCTATTCACTGCGCGCCGAACAAAGCCTTGCGATCTTTTTACCGATCATTTCTCATTTGCGTGATAAATGCTGATTTTGACCGGCATCACAAAAAAAGAAAAATCGGAATACTGATCGATCGGTCGTTTCTCTTCTCTTTGTAACAAACGTATAAAAAAGACGCGACCGTGATGCTCACGTTAAAGCGCATCGAAAATAAAATTGGGTCACAGAGAGAGAAGGTCTTAACGACAAAAGAAGCCGGGAGGTGAGAAAAAGAGAGAGAGATTGTACGAGGATGAAAATCATTTCACGCCGAATTTCTTCTCCGATGCTTATGCGCTGATCTCCGGTCACAGTGGAAGGAATTGCGCCTACAATACCACGTGCAGAGGGGGTCAGGACACACGATCGGAGACCTTACAAAAAAGGAGTTGCCTTGTGTTAATTAAATTTCAACGTTGTTTCAATCTTTTTTTTTTTTCCTCCACGATACTTAGCTCTGTTGGCTGTACCTCGATAGAGTCAAAAATCGGCGTAGTCGATTAATTCTTGTTTANAAAAAAAAAAAAAAAAAAAAAAAAAAAAAAAAAAAAAAAAAAAAAAAAAAAAAAAAAAGAAGGCCCCGAATTTAGGCCCAAAGAGTATCTGTCGATTCGCACAGCGAGAGCCTTGGTACTCGCGTGTAGGAAAAAAGAAAAAAAAACAATTAAAAACCGCAAAAGGAGGGAAAGCTCAAGCTTAGAGGATTCGGAAAAAAAAAAAAAAAAAAAGAAAAAGAAAAGCAGAGCCGGTCGTGGGGAAAAATAATCTATACGTGCATTGCATGGGGTGGGTCGTTCGCAACATTGATTGTGACAGTTGCGAGCATAGCAAAACAACAAATGTGCACCACATGATGCTGTTATACGGCGCAAATGGTACGTGTATATCGTGACGTCGAGCGTATATATATAGAGTACGGATGTATTGGGTTATTGGAAAGAGGGTTCGGCTGGGCGATCGAATGATACGTCGCTTACCCAAGCCTTGACGGATATGGTGATGAAGCGTCGAGTGGGCAGTTTGATGTTCATCACCTCGGCGTACTGGACCTTGACCTTCCACGGTATGTGCAGCTTCATGAAGTACGTCTTGCCGTCGTACGAGCTCTCCTTGGGCTCGAGTTCGAGCTGGAGGCCCTCCTTAAGGAGATTTTGCTCGAAAACACGGCGTTGCTCGATCTTGCGCGCCTCCTGCTCCGTCATCACGCCCTCGCTCTCCAGCCGGTAGACCAGCACCATGTCTATCCTCCGTCTCCCGTCTCTGCTACGACATTGCCAATTTTAACATCCGCCCTTCCCTTCCCCCCCCCCCCCCCACCTCGTATACTTTTTCATCGGTGCACAACACCCGAGAGGACTATGTTGTTAACGTGATTTTTCACACCTGCACCTTTGCCAACTCGTGTTGCAACTTTTTTTTTTTTTTCTAAATCGGTACAATAGAATGTTAATTTGTTTCTTACTGCTCGTAAGTGCAAGCGCCATGCATTTTTTGTTTCAAGGGGACAAAGGTGGAAAAATCGATTGGGGTGATTTCTCTCTCGGGTGTCGATGCGAACGTATCGGAGAAATTGAAAAAACAAAAAAACAAAAAAAAACATGTCTCCAGAAGTGCTCTCTCTCTCTCTCTGCTGCTGCTACGCGCACACCACCCTCGGCGCGCTATCGACGAGCCAAGGTACACACGCGCGAAACGGCCTGAATAATACATTTCTCTTTATCCATTTGCATACGCTGCATATACTTTTTTTTTTCCTTTTGTCCTTACCATTATTTTGTTAGCGAGTTTTGACAACCTTCCGCAAAAAGTGCATCGACGAAGGGAGAGAGCGATTAAAAGGACGCGGGGCGCGGCAGCAGAGGGAGAGGGAACCACCGGGTAATGTATAAGCACCGGAAAAAGAGCGTGTCAGCCTCGGGGGGGAAATCGTCGGCGTCGTCCTTGCTATCGGCAGCCGGATCGAGGAGCAGTGGATTGGCCGGTGGACTGGCCCCGTTGTTCCTCAGCCCGGCGTGGATCTTCTCGTCACCGGCCCCCGGGAATATCGTCGTGTGCGAACTCGACAACGAATCATCCTGCGAGTCCAACTTTGGGCCTGTAGCAGGTGCACCGATCGGTACACGAAATCGTACACAATTGAGTAAATGGCCAACGTACAGGGATGCACACACGTGTATCGACATTGTCGAAAAAAATTGAGAATGAAAAATTACACTAGCCTTGGAGCATAGCTCCCGTAAAGGATGGACGATCGAGCCAATTCCGTCGCACTCGTGCATATACATATATATTATTTATTATTTTTCAGCCGGTCGTCATCACGTAAATCGGGGGGATGGCCGATGATGAAGACGAACATATCGACAAAAACCACACGCGGCCCGAAAGCGCGAGGACAAATTAAATGGATCATGGATGAAAGTTAACTAATAAGTATACACACGTGTGCTTGGTTTGTCACTGTACGGCGGTATAAATATATTCTACTCCCCCGTAATCATCTACGACGACTGGTAAAACTAGCATACTATACTTGCATGCCCATTGGCAGGGTAGTGCGTGGCTATATATATAGTGTAAGTACACGTTGCATGGGTATATTATGCGCGGACGTGCATTTGGCCACGCGAGTGTGCGCACGGGCTGAACCTATTGCAACTTGTGCAGCGTTGATGCTCGCAAATGTCTCTTCTTTGCTGTGTACATATATACGAATCAAGAAAAAAAAAAAAAAAAAAAAAAAATGTGCAGGTTACAGTTCCCCGGGGGAAAGAAACGCGGCCAACTTTGTTTCCACGTGGGTGGATGTACGAATCGCGTGCATGTGCGTGGTTGTTAATGTTTAATGGTGAAAAAAAAAAAAAAAAAAAAAAAAAAAAAAAAAAAAAAAAACGTAGCGATCGAGGTATTGATTTTTATTTTGCATCGATCGAAACTACAAGTATATACGTACATCCCAAGTGAACGAGACCCTTGCGGTGCAAGCTCCATCGCTGTCATTTTTTTTTTCCCTTATCATATTATCGTTTGATTGAGTTTATGTTCTTTATTTATGACGTTGCGTCTATTTGTATTGACAATACACGTAAAGCATGGCTCGAAAAAATACGTCGACGACGATTATGTGTAATATCGATATGTTGTACAAGATGTACTTATTTCTGTCGAGTACATAAATATATAGGGACACCGGCCCCTCGGCCTCTCATGAATAAACAAAGAACCAACGAATCCATCGATTCAACGGCTCACTCGTTACATTTATAACTTTACGCGTACGAAATTACATACGTGTCCGGTTGTCAAATATAAATATACACTGTGACACCTGTACGTATATATATGTATATACTGTCCCCGTCACGTTTACTCTTCACCGAAATCGACGTTATGGATCATTTACAACTTCTCTCGCTCGACAAACATTTTACACCCGCGAGTACACACATAATTATGTGCGACAAAAAAAAAAAAAAAAACAAACAAACAAACAAACATCAACAACACGTTGACGTATGGTATACTAGTTTCTTTGTTTTTTTTTTTTTTCCCCATCACGTACATTGACTAAGGCAAGAACCTCTTGCAGAGACAAAGAAAAAGAGTATTATTGTCACAGATTTTCTATTTTTGTGGGGGAAAAAAAAAAAAAGAAGAATAAGCTACAATGTACGTGGTATGTGCTCCACGTAGTTTTCTCCTTCACATTTAAGCTANGTCGGAAATTAAAAAAAAAAAAAAAATTAAATTAAATTAACGTAACATATCGTAATCAATGAGAGTGTGTTATGAAACTTGAGCGTTTCTCTCTCGTGGGAGGTATATTATCGTAATGTAATTGCACGTGTAGGCAACGTATATGTTACACCAGTTGGTTATTTCTGTGCGTAAGTATATTTGCGCGCACAATTGAGTGACTGCGAAATGGCAAACAAATTTGTAGATAGCCATGGACACGGGGTGTGCGAAATCGGACGTATATTGTAGACTGTAACTTTTTGTTTTGTTCAAAGAAACACAGCGCACACGGAACTTTGTAGGCCACGCAAAAAAGTAAAAAAATCGACGAGCTTCGTATCAGTTTTTTTTTTACAAGAGATGTCCTTTTTTTTTGCGTTGCACACATCTATGAATAAATTATTCATTGCCCGAGCGACAGTTTGAAATGGAAAAAAGTGTACGACTGATTGGAAAAGTCGGTGTAAGTATCGAGGAAAAGGTAAAAAAAATGGCCAGCAGCGTACCAAAGGCCTCCCTGGCGATGGTCGACACCCTGGGCGGAAAGACACTGGCGCGCGAGGAGGCACGCCTGGAGAGCCTCGTGGGAGAAGCCGGCGCGGCACCCCGGAGTTGGTCGGCCTCCAGTTCGCGGACGACAAAGCCCGGGGGTGGCTCCCGGAGGACGCCACAGCCCTCGACCGGGGGAGTCGGCGACGACCCCGAGGACAGGCCGGTCGAGGCGGCCGACGAGCCCGAGGGGGAAGGGGACCCTCCATGCGGCTCCGCGGACTCCCCACCTCCCTGCTGCTGATCGCTCCGACGACGACGTCTGTGGTGGTGATGCGGCTGATGCGACCCCAACTCCGGCGACTCGTCCTCGAGCTGCAGCAGGTTCCGGCTCGAGTCGTCCATAATACACTTTTTTATGGGCTTTTTTTTTTTTTTTTTTTTTTTTTTTTTCTTTTCTTTTACTGCCAATTCATCGATGTAATTCATTTTATTTAAGACAAAAGTATACTTTTCTACTTTTTTTCCTCTTCCATCTACCTCGTCCCCGCGGCAGTTCCGAGTGGCTCACTCGACCGCATCGCCCCCAAACACTCCCACAGCCTTTTCTATTCTCTTTTTACCGCGTCGTCTCCGCGTGGCAGCCACTGCTTGTCACCCCGGTGGTATGACGGAGCAAAGGTCCCAGCACCTCGACGGGGTGATCTTCCATCTCGGGAATCACGAGTAAATCGACCGGGAGGCACCTTTGTTGGCAAAAGTATGGCAAATTGCAGGTTGATTGGGTGTGTGCTCCGGGGCAGGCATGTCACGACGGCTGACTGGCAAAAAGAGCCAATGGTTTAATAATGCAAGGCCGGAATCGATACCACGTATACGTAACATATAGGTACGCATCCTCGAGGGTGGCTTGCGGCTATATGACACTCCTCGTCTATTATGAATTAAGGGCCAAGCAGCCTTGGCCGCCGACCGTGCAATTCTTATGTACTATACCGAGAAAGCTGATGGTTATTTTTTATGTACTCGCGCAAAGCCGATCGTCCCCCCCGTCAATTTTTCTTTGCCCCCCCCCCTCCACCACCAACTTTGTATTCGATGCGCGTTGTGCTTTCGAGAGGGTCCGCCGGTCGAAAAATCGGTATGGGCGCGTGCTTTCGGATTGCCGATTTTTCGCGGTCCGTTACGCGTGGTCGAACCGCGCGAGTCACTTTGGACGGAGCGAGCTCCGGTGTTACATGTCCAGTCGCGTGTCGCGAGGACTACTATCTCACCGGACGACTTTTTACCACCCCGCTGTCGATCGTTCGGTTGTGCCTACATGGATTAACCCCCTTTTACTGTACCACACACAAGCTCGTGTCGGGTTTCTTTACAGTATACATGTAACACACATTTAATACGTGTACAACCACCCAAGAACACTAGTTTAACGTGCACACGAGTGCCGAACACCGATTAATTATTTATCGTTCCGCGCTCGAACTTACACGTACACACGCATGCGCGCCCGATAGTTATTATAGTGTCTCTAAAACAACAATGTGTGGATAATGTACATATATGTATCTGATGCGATTCGTTTGACATCGAGAATTTGCATTGATGTCACGTAGTGTATAATGTGCGCTCACGGGTGCATTGAAAAAGAAACGGGGGGGGGGGGAAAGCAACAAACGATCCAGCACCGATTGCCCATGTATATACATATATAGTTGACAATGACAAACGCCGCTTATAGATGCACTTTGTGTATGGACGGTATGTTATTTTATTGTTAATGTATCATTCATGCGAGGCTTCCTTTTTCTTTTCTTTTCTTTTTTTTTTTTTTTTTGTACTTTAACGATGATTCGTTACAAAATCGCTACGTGATGTGCGTTTTAGTAAAAATCGGTTGACGATGATTTTTCCAATTTTGGTATACTTACACTCGCTTTTGTTGTGTATGATTATTTTTTATGAGGCCTAATTTTTATATGTAACTTTTTGCGATTGACGGCATTTCGATTTCATGCCGAAAATCAACAGGTCGCGAGACCTTGCGAGTTTTGATCGTATTAATGAAAAATTTACCGTCGCATTGGATCACGTACGTGTACAATATATAGCTGATGTACGTCCTGCGTCATGTACTTATTGCCCTGGTAATGGAGCAACTCTAACGTTTTCAGCCAAGTATGCATGTATATATATACAGTGATTGCAAAGGCCTTTACTGGTACATAGTTTTTCATTGAAAGCATGGGTTTAATTAAAATTGTATACACGCGATTGAAGAATCATCCGTTTATTGAATAACAAAGTTTGCACTCATTCGGAAAATTGAAAGCGTTGAGAGTATACATACATACATATATATATTTTTTTTTCAAAATACAAAACATGCATTTGCACGGATAATATGTTTTATTTCTGGACCTAACAGTTTTTTTTTATACTCCCGTTAGATTCGGATATCATCAAACTCATGGGTATATGCGCCGACACGTATATACAATACATTCCTAAAAATGTGAGAGAACAAAAAATAGGTGTTCCGAAGAACAGTCTTCGATTTTTTACGCGCAGTTACCGATATCATCCAGATTGTCGTTCAAACTGTACTCAATTAGCTTGAAAAACAATTCACTACTATTGCACAAGAGATAATTCATATTCATTACATGAATAACGATTATTTAACAAATTACATAACTAAGCACTTTAATGTCTAAGTTGTTTTGTTTCTTTCTTAAATTTTGCATTAGTTATACGTCAAATAAAAATTTTAAGTATTCTTTTTTTTTTTCTATTCAATCTGATTATTGCTCTGCTTCGTCAACGTTATTAATTCATGGCTATTTTTATACAATGCAAAAAAAGTTGGATGACGAATCCAATCATCATTGTGTGTTTTATATACATATATACATATATATACATATATAAATATATATATATATACCGGGCGTGCGAAACGTATATACATATAAATTATTGTCGGTCTCTTTTCAACCCGATCGCTGCAGTGAACTTGGTCGCCTGGTAAGTAAGAATATCGACGGCGCCAATTCAGTATACGCCAAGCGCGAAGCGCACGGTCTCTCTACTACTGGATCGAATACGGAGCAAAGTAGATTTCTGTAACCGATCGAACCAACTAGGTGTCAAAGTGTATAAGATAATATATACTTGCCGGTGTTCGTCCCGAACGTAATGAGGGTTGATGTTGATAATTTCTAGGACGAAGAGTCCAAAGATCGGTAGGCAAAAACAAAAATAGCCAACCGGTTTTGTGAGAAAAGTGTTCATTCTTTGCCAAAAAAAAAAGTGTCCCCTCAAGGATTGTTTAACGAGATAATGCTTTGCAACAATTACAATTTTCAGCCCATGAAAGAAAAAATATATAAAAAAATACGAGAGAGGTACTCGACGTAGGTACGTGCAGTTTTCGTGAAAACCGACGCTGCTCTGCACAACTTGGGCACACACATAATCTCCACTCCACCACCTGCGCGCTCCGACAGTCTGTGTGCACACCGTACACGTACCTACACCCATGTCCCTGGGATTTCCTCTCCCTCTTGACTCATTGTACTTTGGTAGTAGCGCGTACTGCTGGAATTTTAAAAGCAACAATATATTAAGTCTTGGATTTCGCGGAAGGACCCGTAACTTTTACTACCTGTACCGCGAATAAGAAAAAAAGAGGGGCGCAATAATATATGTATATATATATATTCCGAAGGAGCGGCAATTTTCATTTACCGTGTAATAATATAGCGACGGTGTAGGCGAGTGGGGACGTGCAGAGTGAGAGAAAACAACGGTACAGTCAACGGTCAGCAGCATGACGACGACAATCAAGCTTTTGGGCGTGATCCTCGTCCTCCGCCTACTGGGAACAGGTGAGCGTCAGCCAATTTTCCAACGCTTACACGCTCTCTTCAAGTATCCTCCTTTTTTCCCTTCGATTTACACGAGTCTTTCTGATGCGAGTGCATTTTCTCTTCTTTCCCCCCACCCCCTCGCGTCCGGGATATATGCCTCCGGAGCAGGTTATGGCGTTTGAAAAGGATTCGTGTGTCCTGTTGGTGGGGCTGCGTTTATAAACGGTATACCGGGGATGTCCTCGGGGCTGATCGAGTTGCTCAGCTCGGGGCACGAATCTGACAATCTCGAGCGCGTTTTCGTATGTGTGCATTGCAACGAGAAACAATGAGAGCCTCCTCCCGTTACTCCGTGGCGATCGCGGGACTCTGATAAAAAGAAAACGTCGAACCTATGGACACCAGTACCTACCTGTATGTAGGCTCTCGGTTGATTCGATCGACGTTTTCTTTGAATCCACGGGTGTGACGGTGTGAAAAATCGGTAAGAGATCATTGTTTGTTCGTTCAAGGCTTTGTCGGTTATTTTTACAATTAAAAAATTTCCATGAGACAAGTTGGCGAAAAGTGTAAAAAAAAAAAAAATGTGAAAAAGTTTTAAAAAACGAACCAAATGACGTATGATATTACACTCTTGAGCCGCATTATAGTTGAACATACGTGTGTGGGCGTGTATTGGAACATGTGAACAAAGTGGGACACCAACACCCATCATCTTTGGTTTAATTATAGTGAATAAACCAAGTTAAATGTACTATGAAGTAGGAGGGGGTTGGCTTTCATTGTTAACTACTCATGAATACATATATAAACTAAATAATAATTGGATCTATGGTTTGAAAAATGATTTTGTTTTTTACCAATTGGACATTTTTTACTTTAACGAATGAAAAAAAAAACAAGGTCTCACATGAGTAAAGTAATAAAACGGACCATTGCGCTAAGCATCAATCGCGAGTTTGGCATTTGCTGGCGCGAGTCGCCAGATAAGTACTTTTTAAAAACCCAACCGGCCGTAAATTACAACTCATCATGGTCCAGACTTGGACAAAATTACATTATGAATTTTTATGCATCAGTATTCACGAAATAAAATACTTGTATAAAAATAAAATTTTTTTTTTTTTCTTCCACAAACTGTTATGCATTGTTTTTGATAAAAAAAATATTGTTACGAATACCTAGTGGTTAAAAAAAAAAAACAAAGAAATATTTTTCTAAGCTTCTTTTAAAAACCAAACGCACCTCCGATTAGGCAATACCATGCCAATGCTTAGTCACGGTTACCTGCAATGGGGAAGATGTATGCGCGTTCGAGTGATGAGAAATTAATATACAACGCGGGTGGATATATCCTTAATATCGCGAAATGAAACGCACAAGGCCCCAACCATTGCAAAAGCTGATTCTGTAGTGTAACCCGAGCTGGAAAGCTCTGCAATAACATTTAGAGATTTAAATGCTTATTTGACTTTTTCCTCGTACTCGATCGGATCATCATTACACCGGGAAACGTGTGTGTGCGGTGTACATCCGTTATACAACATAGCTCCTGTACACGTGCTCGTGGTTTCAGGTGTTCACCCTCGGGTCGTCGTACTTTCTAGTCTCGCGATGAACGATAACCGCAAGTGGAGTAAAGATGACTTCGAGAAAGTACACATGGTTTAGCCAGAAGAGGCTCAAGTGCATGCTCGTTCGCGAAGATAGTAGAAAAAGAAAAAGAAAAAGAAAAAAAAAAAAAAAGCCGCCCAACTCAGACGCAGCATTATCATCGCGGTAAGATGAAAATAAAAAAGCGAGGATGAAGCGTATCGATCGCGAAAATGTTTATTTCTCAAGTGGTACATTTCTCATCGGGCGAAAAGCAAGTGATATCCTCGAACAATGATTTTACTGCGCCCAATTGCGAACTAGAGTGAAATAATGTATGGAAACTAACTGAATACAGCGCAGAGTCAAAAAATTATTTGAACATGAAAAAAAAAAAAAAAAAAAAAAAAAATGGTATTATAAAGTATCGTTTCGAATAATTTCCAGTAAAGTCTCAAAGGACCCCAACAATATCGTACATAACGCAGGAGCAAATCAAGGACATAGGGGGAACCGTCGAGTTTGTCTGCTCCGTGCAGTATGCCGAAGAGTATCCAGTTTTGTGGATGAAAATCGGCAAAGACAGAACGGACGTGCTTCCGATATCTACGAATACTGCCCTCATCATACGTGACAGCAGGTTCTCCCTGAGGTCCGATCCATCATCGAACACTTACACCTTGCAGGTAATTAATTTATCTGTTTTTAAAGGATCCACATTGAGGGGGTTTCATCATTTTTTCAAAATACAGAGAAAGCAATAAAACTTTGTTGTCCTCCAGTGCTTTGTAAAATTTTTATGTAAAAAAATTTACACACTTTCCTGACTTTTTTAACACCTATTGTTGAAAATTTTCCTATGCATTTTCTGTATTTGTAGAGAAAATCATCGAACCTCCTTGGAGCAGAGAGATGAAATTTTAATATTTCTCATGAATTAAAAAAAAAAAAAAAACCGAGTTTTTAACAACGTGTCAACCGTGTAACTGGTAGTAGAGCCTGACCTGCAAAAACGTTTGCAACAACTGTATAATATTTGTGCACGTTTGTATGGATCCAAAGTGACGACTTGCAATCGTGAAATCTCTAAGCGATCATTTTTATTTTATTTTCTATTTAAAATGTATCATACTATTGTACTCGTTGGCGGATGAAAAAAAAAAAAAAAAAAAAAAAAAATCCGTGTACATCCCGATGGCTTTTCAGATCAAGGACATCCAAGAGACGGACGCGGCTTTCTACCAGTGCCAAATATTGATAAGCGTGAGCAACAAAATCACCGCCAACGTCGAGCTCCAAGTCCGCCGACCTCCCATAATCAACGACAACTCGACTCGCTCGGTCATCGCGAGCGAAGGCGAATCCGTCCAGCTCGAGTGTTACGCCGGCGGTTACCCGGCCCCTCGGATATCCTGGCGCAGGGAAAACAACGCCATTCTACCCTCGGGTGGATCGATTTACAGGTTTGCGTTGTTACCTCCCACACACACACACATATATATATACATACGCGTGTAGTTACAATTTTTGTTTTTTCGTGGTGGCGTGGAGAGGAATTTGAAGAACTATACCAAATCTATGGTGCACCAAGTGGTTAACCAGTCTCACCAAACTGGACCCATATTTGAATGAAAAAAATCAATGTATAGGGAAGCTGTATTGTTTGGTTGTTCTTAAAACGTTTATCAAGACTACTGCAAAGGCCCTTTATAAAAACGGAAATACACACTTTGATTTTACAGCACAGTACACATATTACTTCCATGTGCTATTCGTAGTTTGTAATTGCCGAACTCCCGATTGCAGGGGAAACATACTGAAGATATCCTCGGTCCTCAAGGAGTACAGGGGAACGTACTACTGCGTGGCCGAGAACGGGGTGGGCAGGGGTGCCCGGAGGAACATAAACTTGGAAATCGAGTTCGCCCCGGTGATCACGGCGCCGCGTCCCCGCCTCGGCCAAGCCCTGCAGTACGACATGGACTTGGAGTGCCACGTGGAAGCTTATCCACCGCCGGCCATCACTTGGCTTAAGGACGGCTACCAATTGTCCAACAATCAGCACTACAGTATATCGCACTTTGCCACGGCAGACGAGTACACCGACACGACCCTCAAAGTCATCACGATCGAGAAGAAACAGTACGGCAAGTACATGTGCAAGGCGGCCAACAAGCTTGGCACGGCGGAAACGGAAGTCGAGCTTTTTGGTAAGTTTCATACTTATACATCATGGAACGTGGAACGAATAAGTACTTTTTTTTTATCCCTTTTTCTTATACATGTGGCATGATTTCCAAGATATCATAGGTTTTATCCCGAGTATGAGTAGGTGGCATGCCATAGTTTGTTTTTTTTCCCCCTTTTTTTTTGTGCAGAAACCATTATACCCGTATGTCCGCCTGCTTGCGATCAAGCGTACTACGCAGCCGGTGTAATTCTGTTCTCGACCGGGTCACTAGTGGCCGCCTCCATATTTGTAGTCTTTATGACCAGGTAAGTTGTTTCGTTGGATTGCTAATGTTGTACATGTATATGTGTATATTTCCTTTAATTTTTTTTTTTTTAACCGATACTCGTACAAGCATTTGAGGAATGACTTGTTTCGTTGTCTTACACGTGTATGTTGGATAATAACGTATATGGAATGATGAATCGTTAATGTGAAAGTGTCGAAGCACTTGATTGGCATTTAATGTGCATTTATTGTTCTTTGCAGAAGTTTTTATACCAAATATTAACTATCCAGGACTGGTGTGGGGAGCTAGCCAAAGCCACAGGCCGTCAGAGTGGCTGTTGATCATCTGCGTGAGGATCGTCGTCGTATTAACAAAGCGTGCGATGTAACTCTTGATAGTCATTGAGAGTGAACAAATAAAAAAAAAAAAAAAAAGTATACATATGTAGTTCGATATCAGAGCAATATGTAACATGCATAGATACATGCATTGCTCGATCGAACGGATAACGCATTCCCTCCAAGGTCAAGTTTTAATAGATTGGCCATTTTTTTCTACTACGAAATCTCAATACAATATAAGTAGAATATATCGCGTAGTTTGTAACGTAATTATTATTATTATTATAATTAATTTTTTTTTTTTTTTACTAACCTATACATTATATACGTATACACGAAACCAAGCAATAATTAGTGACTTAAGCGATAAAACATACGATGGACCATAATTTTTATACTCTAGCCATCATTGTTTTTTGACATATCTCTTGTAGTATTATATACGAATGAGTAGAATCTCAATAATCTTCTTGTATCTCTTTTTTTTTTAACGATATAAACGACATTTTTTGATGTACAAATTTTTTATTACTATTACTATTATTATTATTATTATTATTATTATGAATAATTGTCAAAAAAAAAAAAAAGAAAGAAAAAAAGAAACTGTTGTTTTTTTTTATACACGTATAAAATATATATTTTGAAAAACATGTAATAAAACGGTAGTTTTTACAATTTGAAAACGGCCTTGCTTATACTGCCCCTCTTCAAACCGTCCAACGCCTCCTTGTACTCGGAAAGTCCGTAAACTTTGATGCCGAGATTATCGAAATTCAAGTACGAATCGGACATGGCCCGCAGCAGGGCCATTCCATTTGGAAACGAGAACGGATTGATGTTGGCGCCGTGGAACGTCAGCTCTTTTTTGTACATCTGAGGAGCACGTATTACGCATTATACAAGTGATTCATGAAACAAAACAAAAAATTGGTGCAAGCGTATTTATGCTCACCTGGTAAGGTTCAATGGCAACTTTGGTTTTTGGATCGGCAACGCCAAAGAAGCAGAACTTTCCACCCCGAGCTAGCAATCCTATGGCGGACTCAATCGCAGGCCCGAAGCCACTGCAGTCCACCACCAAGTCGAACTCCTTTCCCTTCAACTCCTCTGGGCTGCACACCTCGTACCCCAAACCTATGGTATATTTTATTTCAATGTTTAAACAAACGGAAAACAGAACAACAAAATGAAATGACGATGTCGTGTTGTACCCAAACTCTTGGCCATTTCTCTTCTCCTTTGCTGAGGCTCGGATATCGTCACAGTCCTCCTGAGCCCGTGCAAGTGCAAAAGGCAGGCCCAGAGCAAGCCGATGATACCCGCTCCGATGACGAGTACCCTCTGGCCGACCAGAACCGGACTGATCTTGTCCCAGCCGTGGGCCAAACAAGAAAGTGGCTCGCTGAGGGCGGCCCTTGGCATGTCGACTCCCTCGGGCATGGGGTAAGCCTGTGGATCGACGTGTGTCTATAGGATTTTAACGCCACGGTGGAAAAAAAAAAAAAAAAAGGTTCGACTTACTTGGCACTCGGAGACGACTGCGTGAGTTGACCAGCCGCCGTTTCTGAATATCCCCAGGGTGTTGTTCACACCGCCCGCCAGGCACAAGTGGTAACACCCGCTGTGGCAATCGTTGCACAAGTTACACCCGTTGTTCGGGTCAACGGCGACCCTTTGTCCGACTTTGAAATTTTTTACGCTCGTGCCGATGGCTTCCACTGTACCCACGAACTCGTGACCCAGGGTCAATGCATCGGTTTTTTTGCACGGAAACGAGCCCTGCGCATTCAACGTTCGTATTAGCACGTCGTTACTTATACATCTGTACTTTTTCATTACACCAACTGTAATTTTTCGTTTTAGGAGACTGTCTTTACGAAAATACCTATCGGAATGTTGTGTTCAGTTGAAATATTAATACCATCTTGGTTACTTCCACTTGGGCACGCGATTTTAAATATTTGTTCAAACAATAGGTAAACTGTGTCCAAGAAAAGTAATCTTGAATCGTTTTTGTTGAAGCAAGCGAATGATAATTTATTTATCAAACAAAAAAAAAAAACAAAAAAAAACACATTTTTTTCTGCGTTTTCTGGTGACAAGCACGAGTGGATCCTCATGCCTGGTACTTGCGCCGACACTATTATTTCTTGCCTCGTTAAACGTTACAGGCAGAAAATCGATAGTATTACATATTTATAACGAATTTAGAGTAAAAAGTAAACCTAAATTGTAAGCTACATAAATTATAGAATTTAAAAATCTAACCGAGAAGATTTAATGAGCTGTTGGTCAAAGATTCCATGACATGTGATGGATTTTCTTGGAAGGCTTCGATTGAAGTATACATACTATTAGATTCACATGCTATATAAAAAAGAAACATGAATCATCGTTTATGCAAAATTTTATGTAAGTACATCCAAACACAAACATAAGTGTAACATGATATATCAAATGTCTATAGACTAAATTTTAGTTACACATAACAAAAAACTAGGTTATATTTTCTCAAGACAATTACACATGTAATANACAAAAATATTTGATATTCTAAAAATTCATAATCATAAAAATCTCAAGATTCCAACTCGTAACTTGGTGGTAAATTTCTCAATATTTATTTTTTCAACTAAGTATTTAAAATACGAAGCACCTTGTGGTGATGAAGCAAAACTATGATTATCGCATGTATTGCATCCAAGTCAAGGGCATCGAATGACAAGTGGTCAACAGAAAGTCTCAAGATACTCAAGTTTGCAAGACGATAAAAAAAAAAAAAAAAAAAAAAGCATACCTCGAGAATGTGAAGATCGGTACCGCAGATTCCCGAATAGGAGACCCTCACCAGGATCTCATCAGCGGCGGGTTTGGGTACGGGCGCCTTTTTAAGCGCCAGACTCTTGTTAATCGCGTCGAAACTAAGGAACTCCATGCTCGTGCAGCGCGCGGGTGCGAATGACAGCTGCGGAACGATGCGAGCTTTTCTAGCACCGGTAGGGAAAAAAAAAAAAAAAAAAAACGCACAAGTAACGCGACGCGCTCTCGCGGCTGATCAACCAGTGCCGTGTGCCAAAGCACCAACGCGCATACCTTTTACACACGCTGCATCCATCGTAATAAAATTAACCACTGACGATCTCGTTGTTTCATTGGTTTGTGTTTATACGCGGGTCAGAGAGCGCCTCGTGATAAGCTCATTGGCAGATGATGTCACTCCCTGCGCCCTGGGAAGATTAGATCGCCAAGTCGGCAGACTTTAACACCAGTGGTGCAGCTGTTACGTATTTTTTTATTACGAGAAAATTTTTATTTTACGCGACAAACAGATAACACGTGACTTCTTCAAAGCACAATTACGTAACTACGTTGTTTGATGTACTCACTTACGTGCAGTTTTGATTAAAATGATGATATTTCTTCCTCCTTTGATTTGATTTATCATCACGTCTGATGGAATTTAATGGTAAACGCAAGTGCTTGTTACAAACGAATAGTCGACTTTTTTTTTTTTTTTTTAAGATTTGGATTTAATTGTTTCTATGATTATCGCTTAGTGTTTCTCGTGATTTTCTATCATTTTTACGAGTGTTGAGACGCACGTGAAATTGTTGTTAAAAAAGGAATTCTATTGATAAAATATGTAAAACTATACCTATTCATGCATGTACGCTATACAATGGAAAATACTTTGTACAGTATATCGTCCGTAGCGCTGTTTCAAAGGGGAAAAAAAAAACTATTGCAGTTGATCGCGCATACCTCGGTTGCGAGATGTTCTACCTAAATATAACCAAAGTCTATTTTATTACCACCTTTTTCATTGAACTTTTCTCGGCAATTAATAGATTCATATGTATTTTTAGATAAATGTCACTCATACGAGAATGTGGAAAATTTTAAATTCATGACAGAACTAAACTATAATGTGTACACGTACTGTATCTCTCTTTTTCTTATCACTATTTGCAAAATTTATCGCATTTGCAGAAGCTCATTGTAAACTCCACCACAGATAAAGTGGACAAAAATGACGATGATTTTTTTTTTCACATTAACAATCATTTGAACGCTTTTAGTGGTAATTGAAGAAAAAAAAATTGTGTCACGTTTCTTTTTTACACCGATGAAAACTATATGCTAGCGTATAAAATATTATCACGACTATCAACGACTTTCAATTGGAATGGATCGTAAGTTGATTGAAAAAATCGCAATTTACCATTCCCGTTGGTACGTATAGAGTAAGTACGTATAAATTAAAAACAGTTGTGTCGATTTATAAAAGAACACACGAAAGGCATATATTTTCGAATGTATAACAATTCAAGTTATGACGTTTCATTCGATTGTGCAACAAAAAGACAGGTACTTAAAAAAAAAAAAAAAAAATCTGACGCTTTTATTCCCAACGTGCAAAACGCACTTCTCAGGAGTGTGATTGATTAAAACTCGAGGCAAAATGTGAGGATTTTCAAGTCATCCCGTTTTTTTTTGTTTTTTTTTTTAATTTTCCATAAAATGTCGTAAAAGCGAGTCGACTCTCCTTTTACACCCACCAAGCAACGAAACGCATTATAATCGACGATGCATCCTTGAATTATCAATCTGTTGTGCACGGCTTAAATGGTAAAAAATAAAAAAAAAATAAAATAAAATAAAACAAAAACGTTGCCCGAGAGCCCGAACGATAGAAAGCCACGAGAGGGGGGGGGGGATGGATGTTATGAACGAACGGTCCATTCAGATTCTAGGTCAAGAGGATGCGCCCGCGACGCGAGTGTGAACGAGCGAGAGAGGAGGACCACGCGGGTGGGGGGGTGACGTATCCTTTCTCCCTCTCAACCCGGTCGCCGAAGCCGGGTCGCCATTGACGCAGGAGGGCCGTTCATTCAACCTCCCTCCGCGGGGGTTCGGGTTACTAGGTCGAGGTGTTTTCCCCCTCATTACCACCCCCTCTGGAATATATACAAGTATACTTTTTTTCTATTTTTTTTTTTTTTTTTTGCCACCCGGTACTTTGATCACTTGGTGGTTCTGTATACTAACACGCACGTACGTATATAGGTGTTTGCGGCATTCGTTTACCAGAAACCGCTCCTGCCGATTACCCCAAGATATTTTTGGTTTCCTCGCTTGCATCGAATTTCTTTTTTCAACTTTACGAAAGAAACAAAAAAAACAAAAAAAAAACAAAAACAAAAAAAAATTCCATCATCGGACCAAGCCCGCCAGGGAATAAGGCCCGCATATATACCCATATAGGTCATCGAAATAGGGCAGCGTGGGCGTCCGTCATATTATATATAGTTCGTCATCGACGCACGTGAATCAAGTCCTCCGCGAGCAATCCCAAAAGCAATATATATTATATGGAGAAGGAAAATACGAGGCACATCTGGGATATGAACTCTTCCATATCGTGCTGTTTGTGATGCTCACCCCTCTTTTTTTTTTTTACACTATACTTATAGTATATAAATTTAGGGTATATTTGTTGGGAATAAGAAAAATCTCCCGCTTTTTTTTTTTCACCCACCCCTGATACAGGTATACCTACAACGTCATGAAATTAATAGAATTCGCATGTTTTTACCACGATAACAATCACGCGTATACAGGTAGACTGGGGTGCGTGCGATCAACTGAAAATTACATGTACTGTATTTTTTTTTTTCTGTATTTTGCACTGAACACAGACGCTTCGTCACCAACAATTAGTATACAGCACATCACCTATATTGACCCAACAAAATGATCAACACTGTATAAGTATATTTTGTACATTGCACAAAATAACAATTGATGCTGTGGGAGGAAAATGACACACGGAAGTTATTAACGTATTTATACATACAGGCACATTTATGGCACACTACATAATTATATGCAGATATTGACGTGGAATTGTTGGAAAGGGGGGAGGGGGAGAGATAAGTGAGAGAAAACCCTTGGAAAAGCGATAGCATATTATATATACCCCGTAGGGTGTACAATAATATACCCCACTGATGCGGCGATCGAAGAATCTATTAGGAAGAGTTGGCCGGAAGTAGCAACGTGTGAACGAGTGTTTGTGTGTAACGTACAAAGTCAAAATACTTATACGTGTCATATACGTATTTATAGGTTTGGGGGAAAATGGAGCGTTTGAGGAAGGAGAAGCCGGAAATGGGGATGGGAAAGAGAGCTCGAGGGTGCTCGAAGGGTGGAAGCCGGAAACTTCGACACCCGACTAATGTATCATGCACACGTGTGGTATTTTTGTTAGATCGACACACAATTTCAAATATTCGTTAAAATAAATAATGCCAGGCACACGTATAAAGTCTGTCATTGTTTTCCTAGTATAGATTGTCAATCACCTTGAAAAAAAAATTTTTTCCTCCATTGCACGTACACGTGTATACATGTACTTTTTTTTTTTTTTTTTTTTTTTTAATATTGTCCACTTTTTATCGTGTGAAAGTATACCTTAGTTTTTTGTGGAAAGTACTGCCCAACGCAGTGTTGAAAATACAGTGATGTGGAAAAACAAAAATAATAATGTCACCGCAAATGGCACCCCCTGTGGGCAATAAGCGCGCGATTCATGTAAATATACGTGCTCGGCCTTTTCGCGTTGCAGCCCCGCATTTCGCGTGAATGAGGTGAGCTCTTCAAGTATTTAATATACTATATAGGTATACATACTACGTCATCGCACTGCGAGAGCAGAACAATATGTATATATATATATATATTATTACACACAGATAGGAATTGAAGGGGTAGTAGAAAGGCTGGAGGCTTTCAGGCAAACTGGGTCATATTGGTTACTTTACTCTCTCGGTGTGTGCGTAGGCGTCCTCCAACACCCCCTTCCTCGCCCCCCACCCTCGCGTTATATATATATATATATATTATTATATAGGTAGACGACTTTAGTAGTTTCTTTTATTAATATACATATATAGATATACACATTGACACATAAAAAGCAGGAGTGGCGAGCCACAAATTTAATTTTTGTCGTCTATTTTGTTGCTCGTGTCGATTCTTTCGTAAGTTTCTCTCGTGTGCCATTCCCGGGATGTCGCCGTTCTTTTCAGCCATGCGAGTGTTCCGTTGTTAAAAAAGCGGGGGCGTTTCGTAGCAACGCGAGGGGGCCGAGGAGAAAAAAAAAATTAAACAATCTTACTTATTCCGATGACTGATCTTTCAGAGAGGAACGATCGAGGTTGCCTGTAATTCCACCGATGTCACAGGAAAAGAAACCTTTTTTTTGCTCGTAGATCGGTCTTTGGATGTGAGCGAGGGGGGGGGGGTATAAAGGGAAAATCTTAAAAACCGTCGGAAGGCCAAGATAATTTACAAGAGGATATTTTTTCGGAGAGTCGGTATCACGCACAACAGTCACGCGTACACAATTGCGCAGAGGTGTATAATATAACGTTGACACGCGTGTATACCACGATGGATCATACCGACATGAATGGAAGGGCGAACGAGGGGAGAGAGCCACACCCTCTTCCGGTCTGTCGCGTATATACCCACACGGTGCGGATGTATAAGGGCGCAAATTTAATTTTACGTATATACGTGCGAGGAGGGCCGGATACGAGCGTGTGCGTGTGTATATACATATAGAGAAAAAGGCGAAAGGACACGAGTCACCATCAGGAGCGGTTGTCTAAAATTCGGGGGGGGGAGGGGGGGCGCCGGAAGCCGGAACTTGCGTTTACCGAGAATAATGCCAAGAAGACGTCAGGAATGACAATGAATAACATACAACTACAAGACCATCTACTCCGTTGGTATATATTTTATACTCTCCATCTTATGTAGTTATAAATAATGGCGCATACATATATATGTATTAATTAATTCATCGTATAGGTACCAAATGTCAAGTGCAGTGAAATGCTGGCTCGGAACAGGTAATAATACATTCAGGTAAAAAAAAAATATTGTACATCTAACAACGTGCAACGGCCTGCGGGGGGGGGGGGCGTTAATGGAACGAGGTCACGTCGTGAGCGAG